GAGAGAGAGAGAGAGAGAGAGAGAGAGAGAATGAGAGTATAATGTTAATTCTGAGGTACATTTACTTATAGGGCATTTTCTTTCAACCATTTGAAATCGAGAGAGAGATAGAGAGAGAGAGAGAGAGAGAGAGAATGAGAGTATAATGTTGATTCTGAGGTACATTTACTTATAGGGCATTTTCTTTCAACCATTTGAAATCGAGAGAGAGATAGAGAGAGAGAGAGAGAGAGAGAGAATGAGAGTATAATGTTGATTCTGAGGTACATTTACTTATAGGGCATTTTCTTTCAACCATTTGAAATCTTTGTTTATTTATGAATTCAAGGCAACAATAAATATCACACGCATAGTTTCTTTTCTTCAAGTTCATGTGATCTGTTGCACAAAAGTGTAACTATTGCCTATAAATATATAGAAAATGAAGCTGAAAGTTTGGATTACATCACTGCATTTTGTGGGACAACAGCTGTTTCCAAAAGTGTAAAATCTTCAACTCTCTTTAACAAGATATACAACAAATATAATAGTACTAAATTAATAATGAAGTAATAAAAACTAAATAGATGGTCATGAAAATCTTCAATATCTAATAAAATGAAACAGATAATAACATTGTAGCAGTGATAATTCAAATATATTTCTGTTAAAAGATCCTGAAAAAAAGTGCATAAATGAGACTCTGAGGTATGAAGCAGCCCAGGAAGAAGGAACACTTGGACCAGGAGAATATAAACCAAACTGCGATGAATATGGCCGTTATGCAGGGAGACAGTGTAGTCCTGGAAGCACGTGAGTAAATTTACATATATTTGATATAGCACATGTTTCTGTGCAGTTACTAAATATATACATTTTAGTGATTGGAATAGTCTCTATACTCCTTATTCATGTCATATAATAATACATTATTGTGAGCATGGCATGTATTTGGGTTAATCTGTATATTCTTTTCTGCCTCAGTATAGACCTTTGGTCATATCTCTCTTCATATAGATCTTAAATCTTTCTTTTCTATTAGCTTTAAACATATCCTATAAGAAAGTACATAATACTGTTCATAATGTCATACATAAAAAAATATGAATTACAATTTTACTTGTTGGCCTTGATGTAGGTCTTCTGAAGTGTATTTGAAAAATAGTGTACAGCTTAAACACTAGATATTAATATAAAAAATTGAAATTGTTTTAATATGATATACTCTAGTATTGCAATAATATATCTGCTTTGTGTAGGTGTTATTGTGTCAACGCTAATGGAGAACGGCTGTTTGGGGAAGCTCCAGTTACAGAAAAAGACACCATAGACTGTGGTAATTTCATAATTCATGTCTAGCTTGAGTATATCTAACTTGATTCTAACTTCTGTAGAGTAGTAAGTTTAAACTGAGTTAACAATAACAGTGCTATTTTTTCATATAAATGATACTGCTTACCACTTTAGTTCATCAAGGATCAGATTATGCATGAACAGGCACTTCGTCACATTGAAATGAAAAGACATAAAAGACTATGCATAATACATTTTTGGGAGACCTTGCCATTATTCTTTACATTTTGTAAATACTTTTTGCAGCATGTGCCTCATATTGGGAAGATACTGAAAGCAGAGGCTTGAACATGGGGCTTCGCTGTCTACCGAATGGAAACTTTGATACACTACAATGTGCTGATAAAATGTGCTACTGTTTTGACCCTGAAACTGGGACCATTTCCTTTGGACCTTTTCCTGATTTTATGATGACAGACTTGGAGTGCTGTGAGTACAATACATCATAACTAGGATAAAAATACCACAGAATAATAATGCATACAGAGGAGTTGGAAAAACAGCAGAATATTGCACCAAAATATATTCATAAAAAGGCTTTCCGAGAAAATCTTGTTACATACTACTTATTCCAAACCAATGTATATATAAAAGGTAAGTTAGATGGATCAGTGACACTTACCCTCCTTTTTCACAGATGATGAGGCAATACATGGCAGCACATACAAACGTCCCTGTGAGTTGGCCGTGGACGAGTGGGAGAGTTATGAAAGCAGTGACGTGGTAACCATCCAGGGTAATGCACAACAAGTTTACAGTTCATGATGAATCTTTTCCACCTATTTTAATAAGTGTGTCTCTTGCAAAGTACAAATCTACTTAAAACCTGTCTTTTCTTGAAAGAAGGATATGCTTAACTTACATCTATAGTAGCCTCATATCAAATAAGACACTAAGATATCAGTGTGATTTAGACATACCAATCATACATCCATTTTTTTTTTCAAATATTGGTTATCACATAATATAAAGTATGTAAGCATTCAAAAGAGTGGTACTTTTCCAATTATTTTTGGAACACAACAAACACTGAAATCAACCAATCTGATAATAACAAGCTTAGCCACAAAAAACTATATTCAGTGTGTGTGTGTGTGTGTGTGTGTGTGTGTGTGTGTGTGTGTGTGTGTGTATTTGCAAATATATATAATTTTTGTATCAAACACAATACTAATTCTGGCTCTATATGTTTCAGAACATGCTAGGCCATTATGTACTCATGATGGTTATTTTGCTGCAATTCAGTATGAAGGAGGCTATGCATATTGTTCAGATTTTCTTGGAAAGCAAATTGAAGATTTTCAACAAGCAATTCACCTTTCAGATGGCCTCACTTGCAGTAAGGACATTTAATATCTATTTTGTAATCAGTTGGTAGCTTAACACATTTAAAAAAATTATCCCAAAAATCCAACCTTGCCTATACAAAGTAAAAAACAACTACAGGTGAAGGAGTAAAATTTTTAAAAGTAAGCAATTAACTGATACAGAGGGAAGAATTTGCTATCTTCACTGGAATTTTTACTGATATGGTACTTCATGCAGATATATTTGTATGGCAACAATGGATTGATAAAAAATATGATACTGAGCACGTGTTATACAGATGTATCTGATATTAATGATGGTTCTTTTCCAAAATACAAAGTTATACCAAAGGGACACTTATATCACAGTTTTTTCCTTCTGCAGACTGTGCAAGACGTCGTTACATCATGGAAGAAAATGGTTTGGGGTCAAACAAGCCTAAGTGCTGTCCTAATGGTGAATACAAACCCCTACAAACTAGAGGTCTACTAGCATACTGTGTTGATAAAAATGGAAATCAGTGTGGCCCTGCAGTTGTGACGACAGATATCACATCGTTACCCTGCTATTCACAAAATCCTTGTGAAGATTCATCCCTAATCATGGAATGTTAAACATGTTTTAGTAGCACCAGCTTTTGGAAGTGATTAATTGCTTTGTGATTTTGCTGTTTATGTTGTGAAATGTGCATGCTCAAAAGAAGTACTGAGCTGTTTGCCAGGAAAGACACCGAACTGGGAAAGACTTGCTTTTTCAGGTCATATTTCCAGAATATTTTATTTTTCAGGTCTATTCTTATGAATGTCTAAAATAACTTTGTGGATGGAAGAACTCAGAAAAAGCTTCTTTTAAGCAAAATAATTTTAAATGCTTTACAAACACTATTGTCTCATCAGCATCTAATTTTCATTTCCTTTCCTATCCAAAATTAGATGCACTATCAAAATGCTCTAGAGCAGATATTTCTTTTATATATGCCTGAATTACATTTCATTATCTATCTTTGCTATCTGAAATGTACTTCAATTACCAAAGTATGATATAATTGATTTATCCTCTATTATCTACTTATAATGCAGAAACTCTTGCTTGTTTTTTGTTTTACAGTTGTGAATACTAATGTATCTAAATGTATCATGGAAGTTAATGGTGTTCAAGTTGAACCTATAAATGCCATACTGATTTCCACTTTCTCCTTTAACAGCACATGCATATATCAGAATCATTCAAAACCTACTCAGGAACATCACTGAGCCAACCATCATGCTATCATTCCATGATATAAATGTAATACTGGTGATCATTCCATAGAACATGGTCAGCAGTAACCATCCTTTTATTTCTCAGCAAGCAAGTTAAGGCATATGATTGTATGACAGATTTTAATAGCCAATTATGTTATTCTCTAGTATATGTACCTTTATATTTCTAAGATACTGTTATGTAACTCTGATTTCAATATCCTTATGATCTAACTTGTTTCTTTGATTGCCAACTGACTCTTCATCATTTATCAGTATTTCTTTCATTCTTCATTTGCATGGTTCAGAGAAATACAAAGCAAGATTAAATTTAATAATTAAATAATTTTTTTAGAATGTTGAAAGTCAACTGTAAAATCACACATTATTTTTTATCAGTTTATCCATTGCACAATATAATCTACATATACTACTATGTTACTTGACTAATGTAAAAATAAGGTATACTTAAACTGAAGTTCATATATTTCTAAACATTATGCAAACCAATCATACCATTAATAATATTTTTTCATAAATGCAATCTACATTGCTAAGAATGTCTAAGCTCTCATTGAATCAAACTTTAACACCTTAATCTCATATACAATCTGTGCGACCTGATAGCTTCTACAAAAGAAACTGGTATTTGCATCACTAAAGGAAAACAAAAGAAGTAAAGTGCATTTACTAAAATCTTTATTCAAACACTGGTTGTGTAAACATAGCAAATCTGATTATCATGTGAATTTATCATCATATTCTATCATCACTTGTGTGCGAAAATCCTCAAAAATGCAATTGAGACATGCAATTTTAAGGATACCTTGAGCAGATGGTTACATTGAAAATGAAAATGACCAATGGAATACATCTGTTAGCTTGATTTCTATATGGAAACTGAATTACCTGTTTACTTTGAAACCATTAGTACAGCCGAAGGAACCAGGCCTGAAAAGAAAGTAAAGAGAAAGTCAGAAATGTATATTTTAATTTTCTGGTAATTTCTAATCAATTTTGTGATTCAAAAAAGAGAGTACATATGGTGAAATACATAATGTACATTAATAGCACGATTTCTCATTTGAAAATACTGTACAATCCAAAATTCAAACAAAAGAAAGAAAGAAAGAAAAAAAAACAAAGAGTTGCATCCGTGCACTTTGCCTCACTCCTAACTCCTCCTCATCCTGCATTGATGAAGATGAAGAAGAGGAAGAAGAAGAAGAAGAGCAAGAAATCTATATGTATAAAGATTTCCTACCTAGTCATGTATTTTTTCATCTGCTGTATCTCAAAGGTCACACAATGCATATGAAAGCAAAGAACTTCTCACCTAAAACATCCAAGGGCTTATCCATATCTTCGTCTGAAAAATTCTTCCTTGGGAATGACATAGAAAGGTTGAAAGGCTCATCTGTGGGTACTCCATCCTTACGATTGAGGCTGATCCACAGACGGACAGCAGACAGTGTTTCCTTGGCTTTAAATTCTTGGACAAGGGGTGCCCCAGATGGCAGACGGATCTAAAGTGAGAGAGAGAGAAAAAAATATATATGTTTATACACATAAATCGATAAATGCATGTGCACGCACGCACGCACGCACACATACGCACACACACACACAAACGTGTATGCATGTATGCAGGCATCCATTCACCAACATCCACACTCACACCCACTTCACGAAATGGGAGTGGGAGGAGAGGGGGGAGAAAAAATCATAAACAAAACTGATAAATCAATAGTACCTGCAACCTTGTTGTTGTGTATTCTTTTTTCTGTGCTGGCTGCGCAACTGGCTGAGGCTTTGGGGGCTGAGGTTGAGTAGGTGCTTCCTTATTTGCAAACATTTCCTTTCTTGCTCTCTTGTCTGCTTCAATCTGCTCTTTAATCTTTTGCCGAGCAATTTTATCCTCTAGTTTTTCTCTCCTGCGCTCATCTGCAATGCGCTTCATTTCCTGCTCCTGCATACTGGAATGATGGAAAATCAATATATATACAGTAAAAAATGTGATATAGGGTTTAAAACAACTTCAATAACACTACTGCTAACAAATACTCTGGTTGATTTTTTACACTATTCATCAATGGAGGTTCCTCTCTGTTCTGTGCAGTAAACTGGCAAGCAGTTTTATTCAAATGGTGCTACTTTGGTGAAAACCCCTAGAAAGTTACTGAAATCCCCATGTTTAAATGCTTATATCAAAAAATAGCTATTGGCTTGTCCCGACTCAAAGACAGGAAAAACACAATCTCTAGACTTATTTTCCTCTTATGCTAGGTTCCTTCTTCAGGAGCAAGGGTATTCTGATTATTTCCATTGAATTAAGAAAGTGATAGAAATTCTTGTATAACAGAGTCTCTGTAGCCGAAAGACCTCATATCTAATCAAGCCATCAAAAAGCTTACAGTTACATAATGATATATCTAAATTAAAGCAAAGTTTATTTCCATTTTGTGTGTGCATGTATATTACTTAACCAAATACAGGGACAATAATTCTGAAAATGTATTACGAGCCAAGCTTAGACCCCAGTCATAGTTGAAGATATACATACATGCGCTTTCTCTCAGCAATTTCCTGTCCCATCTGGATCCTCTTTCTCTCTCGCTCTCTTGCTTCCTTCTCCTCTATCTCTTCTCTCTCCTTTCTCCTTTGCTTAATCTTCTCTGCTAGTTCCCTTTTCTGTAAGTAAATTACTCTCAATACTAAACAAAATAAGATGCTACTTGGTAAATGATTTTCTGAAGACATTTACAACAGATTCTCACTAAAAAGTGCAATTGTCATATAAACAAAATATCAAAAACAAAGTGAGGCTTATAAATGAAAATATATGCTAAAATATAAAACCTAATCTTGCCTAAACTTCCCGTTCCTAAAAGTATATAAAATTTCACCTGCAAGTGGAAAAGTATAAGATTAAGATTACTTTTATTCAAGCATTCTCTTTACAGTATTACCAAGCAAGATGAGAATAACTGTACATTTCAAGGTTCATATAAATCAAAGAAAAATCTTTAAATGTAAAATGACTATTCCTTATTTGGGAAAAGAAACAAATAAATAAAAAATAATTAAGAAAATAAAGAAATAAAATATAACAATAATAATAATAATAATAATAATAATAATAATAATAATAATAATAATAATAATAATAACAATAACAAAATCTTTAAAAAATCAAACAAACATATTCATAATGATCACTTAAGAGACAACTTTGACATACCTTCTGCTCCCTCTCTTCTTCTGATAGCGGTTTCTTCTCCTCAGTTGATTCCGAGAAATTGGAATGGCCAGATTTAACAGCATGAAACTCAACCTCTTCAGAAGTTTTGAAAAGTTTACCACAGCTGGAACAAGTAAAAATTCAGGCTAATACATTTTTATTTACATACATGGTTTTAACATAATGCCAGATATAAGCACTATGGTCTTAATTTAGTTTAATTTTATCATATCTAACTACATTATATCATATGTGGATGCTGGTATATATAGCTGTCTAGTTAACTGAAGCTCCCTGCAGCCTGCTAGATGTAAAATGATCAACATCATGGTAACAAGTTTTAATTCTAACAAATTCTTGCAAGGAATTTCTTTAAGCATTGTCCTGGAAATCCTTACTCATCACATTTAATAGATTTAGCAGCTTCCCCATCTGCAGAAGCTTCTCCTGTCTCTTCACTTTTTTCTGCTGGTGCATCACCAGACTCCTTACTTTCTGGTGTTTCACTAGTCTCCATCTTTTCACTACCCTCTTGAGAACCTAGAAACAAGATAAAATTTAATCATATCTTGCAACAACAGCTTCATCTTTTTAAAACACACAAATATCTGTCATGATATCCAGAAGAATAACTAACACTGCACTGAACTGACCAAGACTGTGCCCAGCTGCAGCACCTGTTACATCCTCCGCAGGTGGGTCGTTGATGCCTGGATCGTCAGCATGTGCTAAAAGCCATTCCATTGCCTGTTCTACACCACCTCCTCCAGTCACAGCCAGTGCTTTCTTTCTGCAGAGTTGAAGGCTGTATTTAATACCTAAAAATGGAGATATCAGAAGCAAATACTGCACTGCTTGCAATGGCCCAAATAAAAAAAGCTCTTCATCAAGTATTTAATTTTTCTTTTTTTTCTAATCTCATTAGACATCAGCTGTTGCTCTAGTGGCTTACCTGGATCAATATAATATTGATAAAAATTATAACATGTGGGTATGTAAGTTTAACTTTTCTGTATATATATACATATACATATATACATATATACACACACACACACACACATATATATATATATATATATATATATATATATATAAAGTATTCCTCACTCACTCACAGTGGGTGCCCCAGCCCAGTACCAAATCACAGCTCAGGGTTGGTGTAGAGTCAGCAACTTGTGGGAAAAATTAGAAGCTTGGGAAACATAAAATCACTTTGCTCTCTAAGCTCTTTGCTGTGGCATAACCAATCATTTAGGTAATGAGGCTAAAAAGAGGTTTTAAGCCTTTGTTTGAGTCTTTGTTTCTCCTCAGTGACCATTGCCAGGTCCAAACAGACACACAGATGTTTACTTCACACAGCTTACAGCAGGCTCAACCATGCATGATATGAAGACATCATCCTGTTGGTAAGGGTAGACTTTCGCGACAGGATGCCACCCCATTATGAATGCTTTGATATGCAATATCACATAGGAAAGAGTCTTACCATCACTTATGACTGGCGATAGAATATTTGTACTATTTTTTATGTATAATTTCAGACACAACTGGGACATATTGTTGACATACAGTTTTATCCAAAATGCCTTTTAAATTGTCATAGCTCTAGTCTGCAGTAATTAATCTTATGATTATTAATAACAATATAAAATAAATAAAGGATAATGGTATAGCTGTCAGGAATGGCCACAAAACATGTATTTATAAGAATAAATTGACAGCTCTCCTTTGGGGGATTCACAAAAGTAAAAAAAAAGAAAGAAAAGAAAAAAAAAAAAAGAAAGTGAGAGAAAACAAAGAAATCCCCATTCCATATAATGACCGAAAAACAGAGAAGCTGGATGGAAAACACTGGGGAAAAAAAAAAAAGGACATGTAAAAAACTAACAACAAACATGGCAGTAGGAAATGAGACTTCTGTAACCAACAACAAACATGGCGGTAGGAAATGAGACTTCTGTAACCAAACACAGGAAACAAATGCATCACAAACAAAACAAAACATACAACTTAAACACACAACAAACCCTTGAAAACACACCACCACAAACAACAGAAGAAAACAGAACAGAAACATATGCACTGAAATTAACCCAATCTCAAATGGCAACTGAAAGAGAACAAAAAGCTATTTGCAAAGAACCCCACACAAACCAATGGATCAACGTCCAAACAGAATCAAAACAGGTAAAACAAACAAGACACGACAAATGACATCTCCAAACAAATACAAATATACATCACATGAAGAAAACAAAGCAAAACAAACACTAGACAAACAGACAAGATAAACTCACCAAATGCATGGCTGCTACCGACCCCAATAATGCATAGAGAAAATAGACATACTAATAAAGAAGGAAATGAAGAGAGCTTTTCATGAATAAAACCTGCCAAAAACATTTGCAAATAATAACAAATATTATAAACAACATAAACTCAAGAGAAATCACTAATACAAAATATAATGGATGTGATAAATGAAATTAGCATATTGCTTGTTAGAGTAATTAAAAATGTTTATTAGTGTAAGTACATTCATATACATCTATGATATGCCTCATTTTACCTAGACTACGATAAAATTATATTTGATTGAGTTACCCATATAAGAGTATATTTTCTTTTACACCATCTTACAGCAATGTTTTGTACTCGTGTAATGTAAACAACCCCTCGTAGTAACACATAGATTCTCCTGAATACAGAGCGTTAAGCCCATCAACTCTGTTTTTCACTGATCCCCACAGAAAATCATATATGCATCGACAATCCAAACTTGCTTAATTAATACATGTAGGGAAGAGGAGTTCTCCCAACTATTGACAATGCTAAACCATTTATTTGAATATTAAAATGAACAAGACAATACTAAGGAATGCAAGATTCATAATGAATGAAAGACCAGAACTAAACTATCTTATACACAGAGAAAACCCAGGACTATAGCAATAAACAAAACTTTTGTATTTTTGCATGTCACGTATACAAATATTCTTTGGGTCGGGCCTGGCACAATTTTAACAAGCCGGCCGTAAAACAACACCTTTATAGACTAAAAATGAAAAATACCCATTCTTCAGATGGTGCAGAATTCAAGAAGAAACTATAGAACATATGATACAACACTGTCCAAGATTCAATTCCCACTGAATAAAACTAAAACAAGCCCTCAGACAAGCTAATATACAAGATATTGATATCAATCATCTGATCCACATCATAAATTTTTTCAATAATTGAAGC